AACTAGTGCGTAAAGAGTTTTACTTTACGCATTAGTGAAAAAAAGTACAACTTTACACACTTCGTGGAGTGCGTAAAGTACGTACTTTACGCACGGTAGTAGAAAAAAATTTTTTCCTACTCTTTTTCATTCCATATCCATTTCAGTCCACTCTATATATTATTATACGCGGGGTATATACGTTTTAAAATATAAAACTGTTCTTTTGAGTATTCTCTACTTTTACCTCTACCTAATATCCGACACTGTTTATGGTAAATAACTTTTTTGTTGTCTTATATAATAATGGAGATATCATCCTCTACTACTCTAAGAATTAATTCTGTATAATCAAATAAAAATAGCAATAGAGAGATATTGCAAGTCAAGGTCAGTTACTATTAGCGCCGCTCATATGTTGACATCTGAGTATGTGCAGATCGTTTATGTTCTAGAACTGAATTTATTAAAGATTGTGCCTGTCCTTAATTGTGGATGTTTAAGGGCAGCAGATAGTGGCAACTTTATAGGTTTCGGTTAGGCTCGCCTACTTTCGTATCAGTCCTAAGTTTTTCAGTATTAAATATTTAATCATCTAAATCTTCCAAAATTATAATTTCTAATCTCTCTTTAATATCATGACATAGACAACCAAAAAGGACAATAACTGTAATAAGTCTTACTGGTTGCGCGTGAAGGGCGCTGGTTACTTTTAAAGAAGTGAATTCAGAGGGAACCGTTTATTTTATATCATAGGTGACAAATATATATCGAATTGACATTAATTCATAATTAACATTTCATTAAACTTATTTCTATAGTAACATAGTAACAGTGGCGGCTCGTCGGCTCGTCCATCAACAAGCAAACTTAACACTTACTTTTGCATGGAATTTATTTGCCTCCAATTATATTGTCACTATTAGTGGCTGAAATTTGCAATATTTCTCTAATAAAAAAAGAGTATTTACTTTATTGACCTTTAAATAATATTATTTTATAATACATCGATCTAATGCTCTTGCTTTTGTCAAATATTTTTTTATTGCGTAAGGAATCTTGAATGATGAACTGTGATGTAGATAGATGCTACTAATTTTATTAAATTACCATAGTGGCAGCTTAAGTCGTAATGGTCTTTAACGAACCTATCCAGTTTATAGAATAGATTTCAATTCACTGACATGCACAGTATCGACTATCGAGCTATTTCCAATACGATTTGCAGAAGTCAGCCGTGTGAAAACTACAGAGTGAAAGCGTTGTTCTAGCAGGAAACGAATATTATCAGCGCTACCTGATTATACGGCCCCGCCAACGTCACAACACGGTCGGGCCGTATAAACATCATTACAAAACATAATTGATTGATACAAGAACATAATTTCAGAGTTCAAACGTTAAGAAATACAAACTTTATCGTAATCAACCAAACAAAAGAAATATGCTACACATTAAATTTTAAATATAATTAGCTTTCAAATGAAGTGACATACTTTAAAATAGGTAACAGTTTTGTATGCTGCTAGTGAGCGTTAAAATCAAAATGAATAATATTGCCGAATTCTCCTTAAAATTATCTTTTCAATGACGTGTCATACTTAGCACTTTCCCTATTTAAATTGCAGCGGTTAGAGTAACGGAGTGGAAGGGAATGACGTATGACAGTTAATATGATAAAACTAAAATCGATCTGTCCGCGCGTTTTTTAACATCACTGATATTAATACCCAGAACCCCCATGTCATATTTTCGTTGGGTCACCTTATATAAAGAAAGAGTATTTATATTTAAGAAAATTTACTTATAAATAACCTTTCAACAAAATATAAATTACATGGAGCGATCCCATATTATTATAAAGGAATACTTAAAGAATATTCTAAGAACACAACTGGCTAATCTTCATAAGATTTCAATTTTTGAAGTACTTATTCCATTCTTCACCCAAAATAGTATAAGTTTAAAATATGTTTTGTAGAATATGAACAATATGCACGAAACCGAACCGTTTAACAGATAATATTGATCTAATCAAATAATAAATTTAAAATAAAGAGTACATCGTCCTTTGTACAGATCTCACTTTTTAATGTCATGAGTATGTAATTGGTTATCCCAAAACATATTTATTATTATTTTATTGATTAAAATACATCGTAAACATTGCTGTGTGTCTTTTACGGATAGCAGAGATGGTTCGACATAAACAGTATCCACAGTAAAGACTCAACACATAAGTTAAAAATGCTCGAACATTATATCGAACAAAGGTTTCTTACAGATAAAGCAAGTAAAACCTTAGTTGTGGTATTCTCGAAGGATAGTCATCAATAAAATTCTTTTGAAGGTAGCTAAAAGAATAATTTAATTCAAGTCGTAAGCACGATACACATACTAAAGGTATGCTGACTTTCGATTCAAATTTCGTCCAAACCGCGCAGTGACGTAATGCGGGACGAACTTTAAAGATATTTTGACACTTTTCGATTGAATAATGTAAAATATTGTAATAATTTATTTGTTTTTGTGTTTGTAGTGACTATATTTTTCTGTATATAACAGAGATGAACTGAATTAATGTTTAAAATGCCGGGCTGCACGGTGGCGACTTGCAAAAACCATAATACGAAATTCAAAAATAGTGTAATGTAAAATATTTCCAAATGCCACAAAATGTCGGTAAATTCTTATCGAAGAAAGTACAAACTTAATTTAAACAATGGTTACTAAAATACACAAGTATAATGGGTTTAGAAACAGTGAAAAGTTGCTAAAATAAAATATATATATTTTTTTTCTTTTAGCATGAAGTTGCCCTATCCACTTGGAGGAAAGTATCTGTGAGATTTCTCTTAAACATAGACGCAAAAAAAGGAAAAGGAATTTAACCAGGTGTATGGGGCCTCATTAAGTAACGAAAATAAATGGGTATTTTAAAATTTTACCAGATAAAATAGTAGTTTCATGTCCCAGTACAAAGATCCCTTTTAAAGTAATAATATGAATGAGCAGGACACGAACATATATAAGAATACGATACATGAACAGAAAAATTGGTTCTGAGTATTTTCAAAGTAAATTTGACACAAAAATGTTTAAATATACCAAATAAAAAGTTATTTTTTTGTGTAGTTTCTTTTTATAAATAAATAATTTGTTTATGCACACTTATTTTTATTTCACAAAATAAAATGAATTTTATGAGAATTATCACGCCCAGAAAGTACAAATTTGAATCAAAATTGTATTTTTTGTCTATTTTTAGTTCTATATTCTTTACTTATCTTATGGCCAGGTTATGGATTTTGTCACAAAATACCTATAATTTATGGGAAAAATTAATATTTTTATTGGTATTATTTGCCTTATACCTTCATATTTGTAAACAAATATATTACAAAATAACCAATAAAGCTTAAGTAACTGAATAAAATCTAAAACCGGCGACATATCGAATTTCAAACACTATCTCCCATTTAATGCTAATAATTCTATGTCCTACGTGACGTCACCGTCAGTCAGCTGCATGCGCCGGAACATACCGTTAAGGTGCGATTTCGGTGACGCGACTGGTTGCGGCGGCTAGCAGATGCGTCTCCAGCCGCTGCCTTGGTTTGTACAGTTTTAAATGGAACCAATTTGGCTTGCGCAGCGCGACTAAAGCGGCGGCAGCCCGCGCTGCAGCGGCTGCTGTTCGATTGCTCGCGAAACAGTCGAGCGGCTGAAATCGTAGTAACTAGGGCAAAAAATGGCGCCATTTACGTCAAATGACGATGAAATTTTATTCAACGAAATACAAAAATATCCCGTAATTTATGATTATAAAGATAAAAATTACAAAAAATTTGTTATTAAAGAATATTGTTGGAAAAAGGTCGCTAAAGTATTAAAAAAAAAAGGTTAGTATCATATTGTAAACAAATTTATGCTATTTTAATGGTTAAATCAAAATCTGCGAAATGACTTGTACATTTTAATAGCGTAGTTATAGTTGTTAGCTAATTTTTCTACCACATACCTACCGGAATAACTACCCTTCCTCTCATATAAACTAAAATCCGGTAAAAACTGGCTGTCGTCTGCCAGAAAACTGGCGATTAGTAATTTCACTAGAGCTTGTTTACCAGCGATTATTTCACAAGAGCTATTTAACAGCGAATATTTTTTTCTGTTCTTACCTTAATGTCAGAGCCAATTTTTCTTCGGGTCTGATGGGATGTTTAATAAAATTTATTCCATGGATTGTAATGTCCTGTTCTATTAGTGACTAAACAAATTGGAATTGATCAGGATTCAATCGGAAAAATTCCCTAAACTTTTTTTCATCTTCTTTTAGATGATTATTTATTAATAAATGAAAATACCCTTCCTAGCGCCGACTTTTAAACATTTCATCTACTTTACACCTTTTTCTAGATAACATTTGGTAAAATTCTTCATCTTCCTCTTCTTCTAATAAAATAAATGTTATCAAATCGTCGTAATCCATATGTTTTTAATAAAACCCTCAAAAATTTAAAATAACAAAAATGCTACGGTCCGCAGTCAACGGCTGCCTAGAACTGCGTCACCGAAAACATCTTTTCATCGCGGCTACAGCTGCCGCGGCCAGCGTCTCTAGTCGCGCAGCTCGAGCAGCATCACCGAAATCGCACCTTTAGTCTGTGTATCGTGGTCGTCAGGTAAGTTGTTTATGTTAAAGTCACGCTGCCGGCATAATAATTTTCTCTGAGAAATGAATATATTCTACGGTTGCACAATCGAAAGAGGTCATAGGTTCCGTAACTCATAATTATTAAAACAAAAACATATTCATAGTCAGCAATGAAGCTGTTTGATTCCCTAATAAACATCATATTAACTCACTGTATACCAATAAGGGGTTTAAGATACATTGAAGACAGGAAAAGTAAAGATTTCTTACTTGGTGCCTAAATTCTCACTCAATTGACAAATAATAATTCTCATAATGGCATACTGTCGTATATCTATAATAATTTGTCTACTTAATTTAACTATCAAGGACCAGAAGTGGCGTAAGACGTAGGCCACCATCTTCCGGCTTGTGGTCGGAGGCGCCTCGCGTCTCGAAGGTTTATGCAGCTTTCTTGTAACTTTTTTAATTTAGCTAAAACCATTTATAGCAGTGACAGCAACTGTCGTAGTTTGAACCTGCTGTGAGTAGATCAGCCATTCTTATGCAGCAGCAAAATCATTTTTTGGTATTATTCAGAAAATGTGTTTGGTATTTTCAAGATCCATCAAACGCTGAGAACTAATCAAAGACAACTTAAGGCTTAATATAAAGCCTTTATTAGTCACAAGAAAGAAAACAGAATCGATGACTCAGACACACTCAGTGATTTTGATTTGGTTTTGAACGAAATGCTTAGTTTATTTAGGTTTATGGTTTAAAATATTATCGCGTGTTAACATCATAAGCAAATGATGGTAATATGTGCAAGTTCATTTAAGCATTACTTTTGAACATTTGTGTACATTTTGTGACTGGATAAAAGAATATCGTCAAACTGGGTTCAAACAATGCTTGATAAAGCTTTGATTATAAAATCAGTCTCCCAAAAGCCGGTTCCAAATAGATTTTATTAATCATGATTGATTCTATACTGAGCAAATTGATTTATTACATTACACGTATAATTGCGCGATTACGGACCTGAAAGTATGGTTAATTTAGTTTAGGATAGGTAGTAAAATATTCCTTGTTCAAAATTAGTTTATTTATAGGTACAAACTAACATTGCTATTAGGTACTTATTGAAGCATTCAACATATTAAAACATAGAATAACTATATTTAATTTTAACAATAAGTATCTGGGTACAACAAATCTCATAACCAACCCTGAAGCAATCACGTCACAGCCTACGTCACGTCATGTGAACACTTTTAAAAGTGACGTGACACTTCTTATCTCGCTTTTTTACCCACTAACAAGATTCAGATTATTAGATCTCACTATCATAGGCAAAGGTCATGCCTTGCCTCTGTTAACACAATGTGGATTGTCACTGAGGCGTCATACCGTCATATTACAATTACCAAATGATTGTACAAAAACGTTGGCATAAATGTTATTAATATTTACAGTAGTGCAGTAAATAGTGCATATTTAATTTTGTGATATAACAGTTTAAAGAACCAGCACCTTTAATGAAAGCAGTCCATTATAGTCTTGAGAATATATAAATAAAGTAAAATGTACAGAGAAATGCCAAAATCTCTACATTTAACAGTACTATTAAAAAATAAGTGAAAAACAAGTGACATAAAAATACTAAGTTCATTATAATAACTGTCATTAATTAATTTGGAATTTTGCAACTTTTGCTCGTAAACCTCATGTTTCTAATAAATTAACCAAAGGCTTACAAACTAACCGACGAGTTGCAAATCATAAATTACAGTCGAACCTCGAATCGAATCTACTATCACTGATTTAATTTAGTACGATTCCACCTCTCTACATGCTCTAACTTGTTGTACCGAATCAATACTATCTAGATCGTTTTAATAGAGTTCATTTAGTGACAGTTTCGCAAAAATCAAAACAATTGTGAATTTAGAATAACAAAACTGTTTCAAACCCATTCTAATCTTCAATTCATATCTGAAAAAAAGTTGTACTAACCTAGAATGATCATTTCTTTTGTCTTTCGGTCTTCGCCACTCAATGTTGATACTTCACAAGTATAATTTCCAGAAAGATCCAAACCAATTCGGATTATTTTTAATGCACTGTGGCTGTATGGACATTTATTGAATGTGTATTCTAGGTCTAATCTGCCCTTTAATATTCCTAAAAAAGCATTAATATGTTAGGACGGTAGTAATTTACATAATCTATACAGGGTGTACCAATAAAAACTCCCAGGCTGGATATTTTGGTAACTAATAGAGATATTTTAATTCTGCAAAAGCCAGTTCACAGAGCACTAAGAGAGCTTTAGTTTTTGGTATAAATTAATTTTAAATAAGTCAAAATATAGATGGCGCAACGCTCAATATTTTTTTTTTCGATGGGATGATCTTTCTTATGTAGCGCATCTTTTAAAAAATGCATTTTTAAGGAGATTTTGTTTTATGAACTAATTTGATAAATCTAGCCATTTTTGCTATACAGAGTGGGTCACTCAAAACAGTTTCATCCTGTGTTTCAGCATTATTCATTGGATTTTAAAGTAATGCTAAAACAGGTCGATTTTTATACCAAATTAAAAACATTTTTACAATACAGACATCTGTCATGTGTCAACCCTCTCCCTTGCACTTCACCAACACCTTAATTTTAAATAGGTAATGTATCATGTTTGGCACATCATTGAAAATGTAATTTAATGGGAAATTCAAAAATATTGCTGTACATTTTTTTACTTTAATTTTATCGTCCTCTAGCTGAACAAAAAACTATTTCGTATTATAGAGTGTGACACTTCAATGTGTAGTACATCACTAAAAAGGTAATTTTATGGGGAATTTATAAATATGATTGTTCATTGCGATACTTTCAATTGTAACGCCCTCCATTTGGATAAAAAAAACTACGTATTATAAAGTATGACAGCTTATTTGAAAGCAAATTTAATTACTAATTCATAGCACTACATAAAATTAATATAAATATCCTTCATATTTCACTTACAATAGTTTAAAAATTAGTCATGCATTATTTTAAACATTAATATTGCTAACTTTATTTTGTTGCGAGAACAATATGCAAATATTTATATTAATGATATGTGGTGCAATTAATAAGTAATTAAATTAGCTTTCAAATGAAGTGTCATACTTTATAACACATTACAGGTTTTTTATCCCGATAGAGGGTGCTAAAATGAAAAGTATCGCAATAAACAGTCATATTTTTTATGACTTCCCCACAACATTACCTTTTTAATAATGGTACATTCCTTAGTTAAAATTAAGTGATTGGAGGAGTGGAAGGGAGGGGGTTGACACATGACAGATGTGTGTATTGTAATAATGTGTTTAATTTGGAATAAAAACCAACCTGTTTTAGCATTTTCTTAAAATCCAATGATTAATGCCGAAAAACACGATGAAACTGTGTATATCAAAAATGGCTAGATTTATCAAATTAGTTCATTGAACAAAATCTGCTTAGAAATGCATTTTTCATAAGATGCTCTATATAAGAAAGATCCTTTCAGCAAAAAAAAAATATTGAGCGCAGTGTCATCTACATGTTGACCAATTTAAAATTAATTTATAATTAAAACTGAAACTCTCTTAGCGCTCTATGAACTGGCTTTTTCATAATTAAAATATCTCTATTACTTACCAAAATATCCGGCCAGGGAGTTTTTATTGGTACACCCTGTCAATTACGTACTGATGGGACACTCTGTATATGTGTTATTGGCTAACATGGTATTATCGTTGGATAGGTAAATTTATAAGGAATTTTATGCCAAAATATTGTACATGGTGCTATATTTGAAAAAATTGAGTAAATTGAACTTAAATTTAGCCATATTTAAGACATGTTGCAAAACACTCCGTATAAAACACTCCGTTTAAAATATTATTTGTTAGCTTACTTACTTTAACCATTTTTAAATCATTGTAAGCTTACCTAAATTATGGTAATTTAATTTGTGGACTGCATTGTTTTATAATTTCATAAAAAAATTAATTCTTGGCGACCTAGTAACATTTTAAAAAAATAGGCTCAAATAGAGTATTACTAACGTATTCTAAAACTGAAATAAAATACAGTCTGTTCAATTAATAAAATAAATAATTTTATTTACCAGACAAAAACGCAACACCCTGTATATCCAAAAATATTTTTAAAATACGTATTTTTTAAATTCATATAACTTTTATTTGAAACTTTTAGCGTGTCTGTAAAACAAATTGACATATTAAACAATAATTACGCACTAATATAAAAGCGAAATACCCATAGCCCTCAGAAAGTCTAGATACCGCTTGGCGTATGCTGTCAATACTAAAAAATGACCCCATTCAAGCTTGTCGCCATGTTAGGTAAATTTATGTTTTGGCTACACTGATTTTTAGTTTGTGTGTTCTGTAATACGTGAACACCGATAGTCCGCACTTTGTTATTAGTTATACGTGAGTGAGATGCACAATTTCTAATTTCAAATTAAGAACAAATCTTTGACAAACCTATTTGATTTTCCTAGATCTGTTAAGACAGGACCGGTTTTATAAATTTTCTCGTTCTTGAAATGTTATTTTTACATGGTTATATATTATTGGATAAGTGTTTTGTGTACATATTGCTATGAGAATTATAGAGAAATTCAGTGAGATTTATGTAATATAATTCAAATTACAAGTAAACCATCTGTTCCTGTTTGGCAATATGGAGAAAATACCTACTTCAATGTCAAATGTACTTTTTAAAAGAATGTGATTGTTAACCGGTCATTTATTTATATTATGAAAATAAAAACTCCAATTTTTTAACTAGGGAAAGATATACTTACATCGGTAACAAGGTATTTCTAGAAAAACTAATAGATTACTCCTATTCCTATAGTTTATTTGAAAATGAATAATAGCAAAATTATATAAAAATATGGACCTTTGCCATAAAAAATGTGCTACCAAGCATTTTCAAATAAACTATAATGATAATTTGATTTAATAGAGCGAGTATAAGATCTCATCTGTTAGAGAAATTGGGGCATAGGGAAGAGATTATGAAGCAGGTAAGCAAAGTCGTTGCAAAAGATAAATATATAGAAGTTATTTTAAAAATTTGATAAAAAACTAGCAGAACAACAAATGGAGTTGTTGCTATCGGAGATCCAATCAGCAGAAAGTAAAAAAAAACTTTGGGAATGTTGGAAAAGGGCACAGCAATAGGCCCAAAACAATTCCTTGGTTTTTTAATAAATATAATCTTGTGAGATGTAAAAAATACTGCTAGAGTGGAGAAGCAGTATTGTTCTAATGTAGAAAACCCAGGGACATACAGCAGTGCACTAACCATAGGCGAATAGTCACTAAATTATACAAGAGTCCCATCTCGATTTTATTTTTAAATATTTTTGAGAATACCTATTATTATTTGTTACATTGAGTTTAATAAAACCAAAGATTTCGAATGTATTGAAAGTTATTTAAAAAGTACCTCTATAAATATATAGAAAATGTGTATATGACTAACTGGTTTTATTAATCTTTTTTTGGGGTAGGTAAATATATTTTGAAAAATTTACAATCTTCTTTTGAATAAAAGACAAAATATTTATGTTTTTATTAACTAACCAATATTTTATTCAAACATAATATATACCTATTTAAAAGAAAATATTACATTTTACAAGTATCGCATATTTATATGAAATAACTTACTGAATAAGAAAGAATTAAATAAAACAAATTAATAAACAATGGATATGAAAAATTGCTTTAACAATTTAATCCTTAGATAAACTTATTCTTACATATTGCTTTAATCAATTTATTTACTATAAAAGTATATTTCCTATCATTTATTACATGTAATAAAATAAAGCATAAAACATACAAACTATAATATGTACCTACTTAGAACGGAACTAATATTATTGTATCAAGGTAGTATTAGTAGACATTTTCCGAATAAAAAAAAGTAAAAAAGAAGTAACGGTCGACACGTTTTTCTGACTATTGGTCTTCATCAGTACGGTGCAGCCAAGTTCAAAGGATCATGGAACGTGTGTTGGAAAAATTGTACAATAGGTCACTAACAAGGAGCCAATAACACATTTGCCGTTTCAGCTAGTATCCCCAAATTTTCTGGGCTTATACTAAAGTCACAAAATTATTCAATGGTCTTCATATGGCTATCAGTTATTCTTTCCTAAAATTTTTTGGTATGCTACAACAAAACACAAATTATTTGATTTTGAAAATTTTTTGAAAACTTACACATGAAATGTTATTCCTTCCTTCTATCTTCTACCGTTGGATGCATTGTTACATTCACGTACAAAACAACAAGAGATTTTGAAAATCCTGTAAAAATTTAACACCAAACCACAAATGTTTTTTATTAAAATAAAACACTAAACGACTAAACGACTAATAATGTTTGAAATAAAACCTTTACTAGAAGAACAAAATAAACAACACAACAGATAATAAAATCGATTATATACGTCGAACGCCGATCTTACGCTTATTACTCAACTTTTGCCGATTATGTCTTGTCAGAAGCGCCAACTTAAAATTTATTGACATTTATTTATCATGGCGCCCATCATATGGGGGGTCAAAATGTTTTTACGATGCGGTATCTAGACCTTCTGAGGGCTATGGAAATACCACTTGCTGACTCATCACGCGATCTCCAAAATTATAATCACGACTGATTTGAATTTTGGCATAGTTACTCCTTTTTTGACATAGGCACCCACTAATAACGGATTTTATACACATAACATATTAAGGGAGGAAACAACGGTGAAAGTTTGTAGAGAGTATCGATTTTGTTTAAAGGGAGTAACTTAAAAATTGGAATTGTAGCTAATCATAAATAAATAAAAATAAATAAAAATAAATAAAAATAAATAAAAATAAATAAAAATAAATAAAAATAAATAAAAATAAATAAAAATAAATAAAAATAAATAAAAATAAATAAAAATAAATAAAAATAAATAAAAATAAATAAAAATAAATAAAAATAAATAAAAATAAATAAAAATAAATAAAAATAAATAAAAATAAATAAAATAAATAAAAATAAATAAAAATAAATAAAAAAAAATAAAAAAAAATAAAAATAATTAAAAATAAATAAAAATAAATAAAAATAAATAAAAATAAATAAATAAAAATAAATAAAAATAAATAAAAATAAATAAAAATAAATAAAAATAAATAAAAATAAATAAAAATAAATAAAAATAAATAAAAATAAATAAAAATAAATAAAAATAAATAAAAATAAATAAAAATAAATAAAAATAAATAAAAATAAATAAAAATAAATAAAAATAAATAAAAATAAATAAAAATAAATAAAAATAAATAAAAATAAATAAAATAAATAAAAATAAATAAAAATAAATAAAAATAAATAAAGATAAATAAAAATAAATAAAAATAAATAAAAATAAATAAAAATAAATAAAAATAAATAAAAATAAATAAAAATAAATAAAAATAAATAAAAATAAATAAAAATAAATAAAAATAAATAAAAATAAATAAAAATAAATAAAAATAAATAAAAATAAATAAAAATAAATAAAAATAAATAAAAATAAATAAAAATAAATAAAAATAAATAAAAATAAATAAAAATAAATAAAAATAAATAAAAATAAATAAAAATAAATAAAAATAAATAAAAATAAATAAAAATAAATAAAAATAAATAAAAATAAATAAAAATAAATAAAAATAAATAAAAATAAATAAAAATAAATAAAAATAAATAAAAATAAATAAAAAAAAATAAAAATAAATAAAAATAAATAAAAATAAATGAAAATAAATAAAAATAAATTTAGCATCATCTGTTAAAGTTATTAAGAGTTTTATGAAGAAATTTCAACAGTAGAATATGGGGTGAAGAAAATCCAAGAGAAATATTGAAAAAACAACTGTATCCATGAAATGTGACTGTGATGTGGTTTTTGAACTAGTAGCGTTATTAGTCCTTATTTTTTCCAGAATGAAGCTGGTGATCCGATAACTGTGAAAGGAGTCGATACAGAACAATGATTACGAGATTATTTGTGGAACGAATTAGAAGATATGGATGCCCAAAATTTTGTAAAAAGAAAGTTAGCATGCTAAAGAAGCAGAGGAGTCACATGTCGGACATAATTTTTCATTATTAACCGTAGCATTTAAACTTTAAAATAATACAATAATAGTATATTATTTCAAGGACTTTTTGTTTTATTATTAAATTAAATCCGAAGGTCAAATTTGGACACCCTTTAGTATTACGTGCATACCATAAACCCTAAACAACATATTATCCCTCCTTTTTTTCGTAAAGTCACGACTCCAAGCGTGCGAAGCCGCCGGCAACAGCTAGTTATTATATAAATCGAGGTAAACTTACCGCTTTCCATAGGTTTATAATTCGCTATCCACTGATAAACTGGCCATGGTTGGTAATTGAAGAACCACTTCACCGTTAACAAATCAGTGTTTTCATTTTCTGCCATACTGTAAACGCAATCTAAAATTATTTCGGTTGAATGAAGCTCTGGGTACATGGGTACATCTAATTGTTCAATTTTGATAGAGTTAACGTTCTGATTCCACAATACTGAAAATACAAATATTTATTCTAATTAAATTAATTCTAAAAGAAAATGCAATAAAGAAAAAAACTTATATTTCGCATTTAAAAAATTTACAAAATATGTCGTGCGGAAAACAGTGATATACAGTATGTTTTATAGCGAAATATACAATGGGGCATGTTCAAAAATTTTGAATTTTTTTTTATGAATAATACAGTTGAAAATAAAACTATATTTTTTTTTATCTATTAAGAGTTATGAATTTTTTAAAATGTATGACGTCACCGGGAATAGACCAATAAGACCTAGCGCCACAACGTTGCCGGCTAGAAGGTTTACGAGAAGTGATGTACGTTCGTTTGTGTACTCCTTCTTACTTTTAGACTTCTAAAACATCGTTAAACAAATCTCTTTTAAATATATAATATCAAATGTTTTTTGAAAGTATTATTTCTGTTTAAACTTTTACCATATTTAAAGTTTCATTGTTTTAAAAGTCACTTAATAATTCAGAAAATGGCAAAATGGCAGCACTGTGTATGGCATCATAGTGTCTCGATCAAGAATTTATTTGGAATTTGAGTGTTTAATTTTGTACTTTTTATAAATATTATGACTACGAAAAAGTGTTTTGTTCCAGAATGTGATAATGATTCACATTCATCTTCAAAAATATTTATTAGTGTTCCTATAAATTTGGAAAGAAGAAAATCAACCTTCTACTAGCGATTTTTCTCGTGAACTTTTTAATAAAAATACACCGGATTATCAAGATGTAGCAGCAATTTCTGCTAATTGTCCCCTTCAGGAAATTGAAAATGAGGCTACTATAAATTCTTAGGTGTATAACCTAAAAACCCTTCTGGAAGAAAATGCAGAATCTCCTGAAAGTTTTGAAGATACCCAATTTATTCATCATTTTGTGGAAGAACTAGTGATAAAGAAATAATAGAAATATGTGGGTATTTAAACAAACTAGTTCCTGGATCCCATATAATGGCAGATAGGGGTTTCAGAATATTCAGCTACTTGAAAACATGGGATGCACTTTAGTAAAGCCACACCTAGTGTATCACAGAATGAAAAAAGTTCTCCAGAAGATGTACAATTAAGTAAAAGAATAGCATCTCTAAGAATACATGTGGAAAGAGTTATAAGAAGGGTTAGTTAATTTAACATGTTAAAACCACATTCCTGGGTGAATTTTAAGCAAGTACATTTACTTAGTAATATCTGCATAATTGCTTGTCAACTTACAAGAACCTATTTTGTAAGAGTAAATATTAATTTAAAAAACTTTTTTTATTTGTTTTTCAAATTTAATTTACCTAATTATCACATTTCAGGGATTATAATGAGTTTTTAAACAGACAATGTAATTTTTTATAAAATTTTAACTTTTCGAGCAAATCAAAGAGGAATGAGTACCTGTATATGCATAGATTTTTTTGGGGCTAAAACTACCAAACCAAAGGCACCTATTTACAGCAGTTTAAAATGAAACATTTTAACAAAAACGCCTATGTCACAGTGATAAATATTAAAAACAACCAAGTTCAGTTGAATGTGGTAGCAAAGTCTATATATTCCAATAAATCGGGTAACTACATGTGGTATCACTGGTGATAAATTTAAAAATATCACAATTTTTGCCACCTTTTTCAAAAAACCAGAAAGTGTGCATTCTTATCAATCCTTTACGAAAATGACAACAGTGATAAATGTGAAAAAAAATTTAATGTTGCTATTCGTTATTACGATAGTAAAACATGTTTGCAGTTCCGTTTATTTTTTATGAAAATCTAAGTAAAAACAACCAATGTCAAAGGGTTATAATTTTTTTTTGTCAAACCAAATATATCACAAAATTAAAAATTGATCATAGGTCAAGCTAAAGTAATACCTTTATTGATAGTAGCTTTAAAAAAGAATGATATTGACTTAAGTTATTATTATTAACATTGGTGATTTTTAATAAAAACTCTTCAATTATTGTTTACAAACAAAAATATAAAAATCTGAAAATTTTATTTATTAACCTTTTAATAAAACATGAGAAAAATGAAGTAAAAAACAATTTATGTACAAATAAAAAATATATATACAAATCCTAAGAACATAAAAGTACTGATTTAATTTCCTGTAGTGGATGAAGAGGTTTCTTTAACAATCTAGCCAAGTGTACATCAATATTTACGCATTTTGATAAATTAGAGCCTTTCCAATAACACTGAGTAGATGTTACAGATGGTTCCTCACTTCTTCTATGAAGCCCCATGTTTACAACCACCTGAAAAAGGGTTAGATATGCAGTTACAAAATAACTATATGACCAGCTACAAAATGCCTTATTTTATGTAACAAGACGAGCAGAGCTCTGAACGAATCCAGTAAAGAGAGGATTTTCAAAACTTAAAAAAAAACAATCTCACCACATTTTCACATTTTTGAAATAGAGAGCTTTTCGAAAAAAACTGCTATTTTTAAAAGTACAATTTTTTGTTTAAACAGCTATGTCTCATTTTAGGCTATTGAGTATTATAAAATAAAAAATTACGGGATGCTTTGTTAGCTTCAAACGAATCCAGCAGAGCACCCCAGTTTTTTATTTTTAACCACACCACGTTTTTTGGCTCCTACAATATTATAAAATATTCGAAATTTGGCATTTTTAAAAAAATTCGCAATTCCTTGCTGACTTCAAAGTTTTTTTTCTGAAAACAAATATACTTACCACATTTACCACATTAGGATTTTAAAACAGCCTAAACATGTGTCAATGTGTCATAAGTGATTGTTTTTATATATAAAAAACAAATTAAAAAACTGAAGTGTCCTGCTGACTTTGTTCCAACAAAGCATCCTGTATTATTTAAAAATAGCAATTTTTTTAGTAAAGTTTTACAATATTTCAAGAGTCTAAAAATATTCTAAAAATGGGGTGTGGTGTTTGGAAAAAAGCTTTAAAAAACCGAATTGCTCTGCTAGCTTCTTTCGAAGGTTAGCAAGCACCATGTATTTTTTAAAAATATCATTTTTTTTTTTGAAAAAAAAAAAAAGATAATATTTCAAGTGCATAAATATATGGCGTTGCTGTTTTTACAGAAAAAACTTTATAAAACAGAGGTGCTTTACTGACTTCGTTCGAAGCTATCAGAGCATTTTAAGTTTTGCACAAAACGAGGAGCATAAAATTTTTGAAAAGGGTATAAAAATAGCCTAAAAATATGGCATATGTTTTAACTCAAAATTTCATAGGTGCTCTGCAGCATTCTTTAGTATCATAATTATTACTAGGTTCACTAACAAAATCTATTTCTAGATTATTTTAACACTTGCTGCGATTACAAAAAATGTCTCTTTATATGTCAAAATTAGAAAAAAATATTTATAGGAATACAGGGCCTTATACGTGATAGGCCTTATACGTGATAGGCCTTATACGTGATAGGCCTTATATGTGATATAAAAACAAAAAAGCATAATAAATATTACAAACCTTGAGGTGCAGCATATCCTAAGCATTGTGCACTAAAAATTTCATTTTTGTTAATTACAACAACCACATCATAAGATTTTTGCCCTACTTTATGTTAAGGTGTAATTTGTCTCCTTATCTCTTATGGAAAAAGTAATTATCTCCATATTCTTGCTTGGCAGATCTAAAAATAAAACCTGAGATAAATGTTTTACTATAAGGTGTATTGCTCCATATAAACTGTAACTACCTACTATTAAAACAAATTATAAATAAAATCTTACCTTTCTGTTTTTTGTAAACTAAGTATTGTTAAAAAATGCAGTAATCATCTCGGTAATCATATTTTCGTTTACAATGGGTAAAACACTTGATTCAACTTTTATAAATCCAGCTGATAAATTCATATTAATAATAAAATTGAACCAAAACAAAAAACTAAGGTTAGGTGTTAGGTGGTGTCAATTTTAATGCCACTTAGATGTGCGTTCACTTCGACATTCTGTGTGTCGGTTTGTTCGTTGGCTTGGTTTTGTATAACAAAAAAAACTTCGACACAAGATGATTGGTCTATTCCCGATGACGTATAATGTCAAATTTTAAATTTCAGTTGGGCTTAATTTAAAAACTTTTGGCTTTTTTAACGAACTGACTATTATAGAATAACTTGTATAGCGACTAACTTTTACAATATAATTTATAAAACAGCATATCTCACATGTGAACAAGGCCCATTGACGTATGTTAGTATATTAGTTTTTTAGAGTAATGAATGCCAAAAAAAATGTAAATAATTAATAAATGATATTTGAATAAATCGCGGTTAGCATAACGCTCTTCTTTTTTATTCTTATTCTTATTAAGCCTCTAACTGGCCAATCAATCAGCCAGTGTAGTTAAAAAAAAAAATATTTTTCAAATAATTCGCTGCAATATACGCTTCCAAAGATTGAAACGGAATCCAACTATGTTCTTTATTAATTTATCTATGATACAAATAGGATCTTACCAAAACGTACCCTTTGAATTGTACGTCACGATACCTAGAGTTTTCTGTATAACGGTATGACAACTCTTTGGAACAGTAATTAGCGACGATTTTATACATGCATATTCTTAAACTACAAAAAAGTCAGTGACGTATTTTTTTTTATTAATATTGGCTGTGGTGCCCACTGAGACGCCACTGGACCCAATAATTTTAATATAGTTAGGGCTAAATAAGCGCCTTATTACTTTAAATAACTGTAACACATTTCAATTAAATCGGTTTAAGGATATTTATGATTTTTATAAAATTCTTATTTTTTTTTAACTTAACGCTTTGTATCTCAAAAACGAAGCAACTCCGAACATATGTTCATAGAAACTTTCTTTTATAAAACAACCTAAGAAATCACCCTCTGGAGTTTTGTACAGTAGTTAGGAAACACCCTGATGCCTTCGTCTATGCTAACAAAACATTACCTATGAAATGACCGAGTAACATTCTTATTACAAATATTTTAGCACACTACACATTTCCTTACTATCTTAAATGTCCGTATTAAACAGTTCAATGTTGAAATTATTATGGAAAATCTTAAAAAGCCACAATAAAAGTTAAGCTGTCACTTGACGCCGTCTTAGGTTGCCAAACTTAAAGGTTATGAATTAGAATGTATAATATTCATATACAATACACGTGTAAAAGACGATAAATAAAAAACTTAAGTGATTGTAATAAATAAAAAGATCATATTGATGCTTTTAATTCTTTATTTCTGTTTTTTTTTTAATATATTATATCAAAGGGAATAGTACATTTGTTAATAAAAATTTAATGAAGGATATTTGATGGAAGTGATATGACAACATATGAAGAGCATAAAGCCAGAAAGATGTTGCAGACAAATTTAATGTAATCAAGACCTATTCTATCCGATATCTTTGTTTTAAGCACGGATGTTTGTAGTAGTTTTAGCGCAGAAGCCAATGCCATTGAAAAAGCTCTCACCTGATGCTTGGACAATAGCATTGCAGAAACAATTATAGTCACAGATTTAAAATCCGTATTGGAAAGCATTTAATACTTTTCAATAAATAACTCAAAAAACTTCATCATTCAGCTTTCACTAAGGAACTGCAAAGTTATATTTACATGGGTAAAGGGCCACAGTGGTATTTATGGAAACGAAGAGGCAGACGTGGCAGTTAAAGAAGCGAGAATTTGTAATTTCGATAATATTTCTTGTTATAGTGATTTATTTTCATAAACTAAATAAAATAAAAAAATGGAAGGAAAAATAGTCAGAGATAGCCATAAATTCTACTAACCCATATTTTTTAATGCATAAGGATTAACCAAAACCGGTTCCCCACATCATATTTCTATTTAATGTTTCAAAAAAATATTCATCTATCATTACACGACTTAAGATCAACTATGGATGTGTCCCGGCTCATTTGCATAAGATAGGAATAATAGAGTCGTCTATTTGTCAACATGATAATGAAAATTGCTGATTTGAATCACATGTTTATTAATTGTAAAATAAATCCAGGGACTGCTAACTTCATGGACAAACTAAATAAGTTAAATTTACAATTCCCCACCAACAACTTAATAGTAGAATTTATCTTAACAAATAAAATTGCCACAATTAGGTTAATTATTTAATTAAATATTGTGTGTGACTAAAGGAGCAATAATATCCAAAGCTAAATAAAAGCACAAATTTTGATTTATCTACATAAGTTAAGAATTGTAACATTGAATTATTTTCTTACAGTAATTTTTTGCAGTTTTTGATAAAAGACTATTTTTATAAAGTGTCCTGAAAAATGTATGTATGCACTACATGAAAAACTTTTTTATTGTTGGTTTCTTAGAATATTTAACACTATAATACATCAACCAATGATAATCCTTTTTTATTCCAACATACGCCGATCAAAACACAGTATTATGCAATGTTTTCACTCAATTTCGCGAAACGTCAATGTGAAGTTGGTCAAAAAGGTGACCAAAAAATATACAAAAATCGATGTAGTTGCTGAAATATATTGTAAATAAAAAACCGACCTTAAATGTTGTTTATAAAAGTTTTGTTGACATTGTTAAATAATCTTTTCAAATACCACGAGAATATTTTGTTGTTACCTGTAAATAAAGCGATACACGACAAATTACCCCTTTTTTTCTGGGCTCATCTAATTTAGTCTCCAATAACACTGATGCCAAATGGCTTATTGTATTTGACCCATAAAAATTCATAGTACACCTTAGTCCTTTGTACATTGTACAAGTCCTTGACAGAGTGTGTTTTAACTATTCTATAGGTCCTTGGATCATCCTGTAGCTGTCCAAAAAGTGCCTGTCTTTTACGATCCAATGCCTCACAGTTGCACAGTATGTGTTTGGCTGACAAATGACTCCCACAATACTTTTGAGGCAAGCCTCGGTGCCTCAAGATTGATTCCACTGGTTCTACTTAGTCCACTGATAACCGACCACACTTTAGCGTCTATTTCTTGTGCTCTACAAATGAACCCAGGATTGACCTTCAAATAATCTTTTCGATTTTATAGTCACACTAAGAGCGCCTGTGCGTGATTTTAGCGATGTTGCCAATTGCTTTTTGTTATTTGTTCTAAATAAATATATTCATGGTAATACCGTTCTATAGTATTTTTTGTTTATGAATAATATGACAACTGGTATTTTTATTTCTATAAATGTGGAGTTGTCAAACATAGTAAAAGAACGTACATAACAGGAATGACAGTGGCTGTTTTTTCAATAGCTCCAAGTCAGATGATAAAACCAGAATATAAGTGTGTTTATTTGAGACTTTTCATTTCAATTATTCAATTTGAGCTGTGTCCAGGCCGTTGGAGTCTATGCCGGTCGGTGCTTCGTTTTCTTGTTGCATATTTATGGATCGGTATGGGCAATCACAATTTTCCATTAACTACTAATTTTATCACAATCCAGCAACATTGCAATTATATTTTTCAAATTTGACAGAACACATAACAAATTAACAAGCACGAACTAACTGAACAGCTGTCGTTATCATTTCACCTTACTTCACTAGATGGCGCCACAGAAGCAGGTTCATTTGTAGAGCACAAGAAATAGACGCTAGTCCGACCACATTCCAGGCACGTAGATTAGATACGAAGATCTCACTGAGCTTGGTTCACTGAGAGAGTAAATAGGAGAGTAACGAATAAATCTTTAGCAGTATGAAGTTTGACTTTTAAATTCTCAGGTATTAGACAATGAGTTTTCGCTTTCAATACGCAGTGGCTAACTGTGTAGTATTATATTATTTTTATAGAAAAGAAAAAAAATTAAGTAGAAATTACTTAAATAGGACACTCTAGCCATATTTAAATTTAAACATGCATCAGTAGAGTATAAAACATGAAACATAGTGACCGGTGAAGCCCTGTCTCATCTGGCCAGTATCCACTGCCTAAGAAGCTAGTTGGTACGAAGTTTAATTTAAGATTCCGCTATAATGGAGCAACATTACCTACATTATTCAAATATTAAAATAAAAAAATATACAAAGAAATATGCCGATGTATACTGGTGTACAAAGAAAGAGATATACGTACATCGGGACCGGGAGATGAAAACCGTGGATTATGGATAACGTAACCCTTAGCGTAACGAATCTTAAGGAAACGCTCTACTGTATTACGAAGCTTTGTGAGAACCCTAGATTAGTAGAAGACTCAACCGGGTTGAACGAGTTTGAGATTAATTAAAGTGCATTGTCATTGTAAAACAGAGTTTCTATTTTAGAACGTAAAAGGACGTATCTCTTGTGTTACATTGAGAAACCGCGTGGTGAAATTTTAATTTTTTCAATTAGCCTTTTCGAAAAATAAGGGTTTTTTAATTTATAACACTTCCCGTAATACTTGATGGCAGCGCCATATTTGTATATTGTGTCAAAGCAACATTTATTAAAAAATATAATTTATTTTTAACCGACTTCAAAAAAAGAGGAGGTTCTCAATTGGTCGCGATATTTTTTTTTTTTAGACAGGTGCGCCGAAGAATGTCTTTAACAAAAATGCTACATTTATATACAGGATGTAAATTCTGTTTTTACCATTTGCATCCCAATACAAATTTTTTAATAAAATACGTTCCGATTTTGATAAAAATTAAATCAAGGTAACCTGGTTAGAAACTGTACACTCGTAGACTAGCACAGACACAAATTAAGTCAAGACATTAAAAAGATAGGTACTCTTTTAAAATAAGTCAGTAAAAACCACTGTAAAAACTGTTTTCTACTGCCAAGTCGATCACTGGTTCATTTTAATAGTAGGTATGCTAGATATAGGAAGCTTCAGTTTCCAGTTAAAAGTTATTCAGATTTAAAGTTTGAACTCGGGTGCTAAAAATATATATATATATATATATATATATATATATATATATATATATATATATATATATATATATATATATATGGGGTGTTCCGCATAATTACCGAAACAGAACAGGTGCGTGTTAGGCACCCCAAAGTATGATGCTTTAACGCAATTTACCTCCGTACCAATTTGTACTCCTAAGGAGTTACGGAAGCCTAAATTGAGGCTAAGTTTACCTAATTTTTATTATACCCTGTAGAACAGCCAAATAGAATAAATTCGGTAAAAAATAAATGAAGGCGTCTTCGGAAAAACGCTCGGAAACATCGATTGGTATTTTTAGTTGCGCAATTTTTAAACAAAAACGTTTTGTCATTTAATAGTGGCCAATACCAACTTTCTTATTTTAAATGCACCACATTGTATATTTTTCAGTTTTTGGATTCTTAAGAAAATTATAGACATATTTTGTGTACTATGTCCTATACCTAACTGTTTCGAAAATATTAAAACCTAGCTGACTTAAGAAGACAAATAACGCTTGCGATTAGATCGGTCACTCCAGAGATGTTTGCAAATAATGATAAATGAACCTTTAGGACGTAAAATAAAAAGTTCATTTTACAACGATTGATTAGTGGCGCCCCGGTACCCAAATAACAGATAATAACTGAGTTAGTTACAAAGCTACCGTCCGCTAGTAACAGCATAGTCGTGCGTTCCAGCGAAAAGATTTTATTTTTATTTGTTTTTGGGATTTTGACTTGTTTGTTATAAACATTTATTTATTATATTATAAATTTGGTTTCTCGTAATGATTTCGTTCATTGTCGGCACTTCAGTGTTTTTGTGTGATTTTGTAATTATGGGAAGAATAAAACAAACGAAGGTAGTTGATAAAGGAAAACGTTTTTTTTTGTAGTGAAAAGAGACGTAGCCCAAAGAAAGCTCAAAAACATTCATTACTCAAAAGTTGAGTTTTGTATTGATTTTTTCCATGTTTTACAAAAATCTGCATTAGTTTTTAAATATAATACGAACAATTGTTTAATTTATTAAACTTGGAGGATATAATTATTTTCGGTTTTTCAGGTCAACTAGTACTTGTAAGAATAATAAACAATCCATTCCGGATGTTGGAGCTATATCCATGGACGTTTCTGAAGGGTTATTCATTCAATATCGAATTAGTATATTGAGCATAATATATGTATAATGTATACAGTGCAGATGTTCAACCAAATTTGGCACACTTCTATGGTAGGTACCACAAGTACTACTTTTTACAATCCTTGTTTTCATTATGATATCATTTACAAAAGCGTGACGTCATTTGGGAAAAAAATTAAATGGGAAGTGGGTTATGTGATACATCGTTTCAAAGATATTTTAATTCTGTATCCACACTATATATATTTAAATCTTGACAATGTTTCTGTACTTTCATCTCAGCAGTTCATGCAATACTTGGTTGTGGTTAAAGTCAGCATTTAATAGCACATCCATTTAAAACTTGCATAGTTGAGGTGAAAGTACAAGGTCATAATATAATGCCCATATCTTCTCTAACGTTAAGTGGAAATGAAGATTGTATATACTGTTAGATACAGAATTAAAATAACTTTCAAACGAGGTGTCAGTAGTTAATGAGAGTATTAAGTACACTTTTTAAACTGCGCAGGCGCGGCATATGTCACGTGTCATATAATCTGTCATGTCATCTGTCAGATGTCATGTTATCTGTAAACAGCGTTGCCAATCATTCAGTGTTGCCAACCTGCCATCTATCAGGCTTGCGACTCGGCTTGCGACACGGCAAAGTGATCCAAGATGGCGGTCACCGTATACGATGACCGTTACTAAATCCTACGCAGTGGCCTGCGCCTGCCGACATGAAGAACTGGAGGATAGCCTAAGAGAAAAGAACGAAAGGAAGCTTGTAATTTTAACAACCAGCCGAGATGTGTTGAAGAAGGAAAAAGAAGAGAATGAAAGGGGTGGCTTAGGAGGAGAAGGTGTGTAGGAGGATGTTTAACCTAACAAATTTGCCTAGTATCAAAGAGACGAAGTAGATAACGTTGAAGAGAGCTGATATTTCAAAAGGACCTAAGTATTATATACGAAAAGTTATCCAGGTGGCAGGTTGGCAACATTGAATGGTTGGCAACATTGTTGACAGATCACATGATACGTGACATATTCCGCGCCTGCGCAGTTTAAAAAGTGTACCCAATAATTCCATTAACTTCTGATGTCACATAAACCACTTCCCTATTCAACTTTTTCCACAAATGCCGTCAAGCTTGTGCAGATGACGTTGTAACGAAAACAAGTATTGTAAAAAGTAGTAGTTATAGTCCCATAGAAATGTGCCAATTTTGGTTGAAAAATATCGATCCCTTCAAAAGATAAAAGGGAAGGGACTATTTATATCTGCACTGTATATTAATATATAAAGTAAAAAATGGTTGTAGAAGTTAAATGCCCAAAAACTGCATCACAATAACGCACTCTTTGGAAGCAATCTGGAAAAAAACATAATATTTTGTAAGCTTGATGAAAGTTTTCAGATGCAGTTGAAAGAAACTCAACTATTTTTATTAAGTACAAGGTCAGCTACACGTAACTCAACTTTCATTATGTTACTTTGTAGTTTCGACTCCAATGAGAATAGTAGTTGAATAAAATGAATTGTCATCGAATCAGCAAATATCTATCTATAGTAATGAAATGAAACCAAAGCTAGAAAAATTTTTCTACACCTGTCTCCTATCCGAAATAATTGATGCTAGATACCCGAGGAAGATAGAAATTCGCAATCCAACACCAGAATAATTACTTTCATATGTGTAAATATCTGAATATTCGCCGTCTTAATTCTTATAGTTACTGGCGATTTTGTAAATAAACTTTAACTTAGAATATCTAGTTTAATTTTAAACCATATATTTAATACCTATGACTTAAAAACCTTGCAAATTTATTTACTATTTATATAAAAATCCCGCAAGGCCTGTTTTAGTTTTGATAAAATAGATAAAAAAAAATAAAATATAAGGAAATAAAATAACAACCCTTCCCTTCGACCATGAGGGCTATCTTTGTATCGTAGTTCGATCACATTGAAAATATCGCCTGCGAATTTGAACTTGCCGTACGAAAAGTTTGTCTGACCTAATCTCTTTTGCATTTATAAGCCCCGCCCTCAGTTTTAATAAAAATTTCGAGGTTATGTATTTCTTCAACGCCGGTTCACATAGAGAGCCGTCTTAAAGAGGCAACTCCCCCCTCTCTTCTATTTTTTAAGTCGGTTTTATTAGTGATCAATTCTAATAATGTTAAATATTTTACACATTGTAGCTAATCCTTAATGAATTGGTCATGGTAATTCAAATTATTAAATACTTTTTCGCCCTTAGTTGTTTTCATCAATTTTGTGCTTCTTTAGTGTGCTGATCAAGTATCTGAAAAATTAGAACTAGTCAACGGCTGATGACTTAACGCAGCCTTAGCACTTGGAATTTGCACTAAGTTGTTGACGGTCAAATTTTTAGATACCCTGTAACTATATACAATTTTATAGACAGATAACCATAAAGTAAAAATTCCTAACACACTAATATAACCTCAAACATCAAAGCATTATTATAATGAAAATTTAAATTTAAAAAAAGTACTAAAAAGTAAGTAAAACAAAGATTAATTTATAAAATAGGTGATTGGCTTATAAAATCTGGGTCTATTTATTTTTTCTAATAATAACAAAGTCACAATGTGTTCATTTAACCTATGGCACGCTCAAATCCTATAACTATGCCTTCAATTCACAAATATCTCAAAAATAAAAATACAGCTTACCCACTTCCCATCCTTGAGGCGCCCTACCCTCTGGAACCAAAGAGTAGCAACCCGATTTCCAGGTTACTTAAACTTAAATCCGATCGCCATTTTTTTAACAAAAAAAAAACAACACTACAGAGAATTAGTGTCCCGTCG